ATAATTCCCCGCCCCATCCCCGCCCCGTTATCCGTTTAAGCGGGTTTGCTCCTCCCCGTTCGGGGCGGGTCCCCGCGGGTATCGGATTTGTCGGGTTTTTTTGTCATCCCTATTTTTGGAGGATGTGTGGTTGAAATTTAAAATAACTTTATTAGTTTATGTGTAAAATATTTTATTGGGTGAATATGTGGTGGAGATTGTTTAAGAGAGAGAGAGAGAGAGTAAAAACCAAATCTCCGTAGAAGATTTAGGAGTAGCAGAAAATATACTGAAATTCAAATTGATAAATTATTTTCTTTATCGTCTTATTTATTCTTCCTTGTTCATTCTCCTCTGCTGCCCAAACCCATTAAAAATCTCGACGCTTTTGTCTCTTCTTTTCTCAATCGATCAGAAATTCCGAGCAGAGAGAATTTCCATTCTTGGAATTACGTAACATATGTACTGGGATTTTTCTTTGTTTGGCTAAAAGATTTAGAAAAATGGGAAATATATTCGTGAAGAAACCAAAGATTACGGAGGTGGATAAAGCCATTCTTTCTCTCAAAACCCAGAGGCGTAAGCTTGCTCAACATCAGCAACAGGTATTATCCTTATTTGTATATATGTTCTTGATTATTCTCCGTGAATCTTTTTTTTTTTCTGATTTATCTATAATGAGTTTGATTGGGTTTCATTGTTAAGTTTGAATCTTGCATATAATTTTCAGAAGAATGACCGTAGTCGCAATCAACCAGATCATAAAAAAAAAATTGATTGAAAAATGGGATCCGATAAGTAGTTAATTTTGAAATGGATTTTATAATTTTAATAGGCTTATTATTTATTCAAGGCTAATATGGAGAGGGATTATGATTTTTGAAGAGCCACGGTTGAAGCTCTTGGGGGATTCATTATATGCATTTGACATTTTGATTCAAAGGCTAAATAAGGTCTTATCACTCTCACAATGAAGGAAAACCATAAATTTGCAAAGATTCTTGGAATTAAAATTGTAATGCAAAAGGCAATGAAGATGGAATAGTTATGACCTAAATAAGGCCTAAGATTTTCTTGACAAGACAAAGGAAAAAAAGAGGAACAAAAACTGGTATTCCAATAAAAGATTAGAAGGGGTTATGGTGACCTATGGACCATCCAATTCATCACTCTCTAATTATGGGGAAGGAGCAATTACTATTTGCTGGATAGTTTCCTATTGACTTTGGAGATCCGTCACAATGTCGCAGTTACTTGGATAGCGAAACCTGCTCATTAATGAATCCAGTACTTTGCATCTACTCATGCATAATGTGCTTCCATCCTTTTGTCAATTGCATGATCCGAAGCTTATCAAATCACCAAAACCTCTGCTTAAATCTCCTTTCAAAGATCCTGCGAGTCCTGCATGGGAGTGTTAATAATCTTTCACCGAAGTTCCTATTTGACATTTAAAACTCAGTGGTCACTGCTCAGCTCAATAGTATTAATGTGGAGACACTTCCAGTGCTTTTCACCATCACCTAAATTATTGTCTGATTGGTTTCTTACTGGATTGTTATTGAGCATCGCAAACTCACCCCTCTCATCATCTTGTTTGTTTAAAATGTCAGCTTCATTCTGCCTGTTACTCATTAATCTTAAATAGGTTTTTGCTTTGCTTCATAGTTCTCTCATCACAGATAACAGAAATCTAAATTATCTTTTGAGTTGATCTTCTCTTAACTGAATGGGGGGAATGAATGGCTTTTTATGCCCTTTTCATTAATTTGTACTATATCTGTTTTGATGTGCAACTTGCCTATATGAAAGATAAAATGATATCACATGCTATAAATACGGTGTCATAGATTTGCTTTTGTAATTGATTAAATGTTAGGAAGTAAGTGTTGTTGAATTGTAATGCTACGCTGCTCTATAGTGCTACTTGTATACTTAATGCTTGTTGTATGGTAGATACAGAAATGAATTGTAGCATACTAAAATGCATCTCAATTCTAAATTTTGAAGGAATAAAAGGGAAAAAAGAAAAAAAAAATGATGTACCATTTGTATACTGCTAAATACGTTTCTTCATTTCTATATTTTGGGAAATGGTATATCATATAATTTCAGTATCAAGATTGTTGCATATAAACTGGGAAACAAGATATAGTTTATGCGTCTTTTTTAGATTTCCAATATGATTTTAGCCATAAATCACTATCTGTGGTTGCATTCTTATATTAGCCTATGTTTGGCTCATGTTTATAATATTTTTATGTACACTCAAGCCATTTTTTATCCACGCATTAAGGGGCATACAAGTGCTACCCGTTTATCCACCACTCATTTGTATATTTATAATCAATCCATTTATAAACATTTCTTAAACACGCTCTTAATCCTTTCCATCATCTACTGTTTTCAGTTGGAGGCTGTCATTGAAGCCGAGATACAAGCTGCAAAAGACTTGGTTCGGGAAAAGAAGAAAGATAGAGCTTTATTGGCTTTGAAGAAAAAGAAGGTTCAGGAAGACTTACTGAAGCAAGTTGATGCTTGGCTCATCAACGTTGAGCAGCAAGTAAGTTAACTTGATTTTGTTGTCTTCATCGTTTTTCATTTATTATCTTTCCTACTCCACATCTTCATGGGTAATTGCAAAGCACTTTATTCAGTTATATGTATCTGTATATATCATAGTACTTGATTATCAAAGTATTTTAGTTGGCAGATGTTGAACTGGCTAGCAAGCAGAAGGCAGTGTTTGAGAGTTTGAAGGCAGGAAATAATGCTGTTAAAGCAATACAAAGTGAGATCAATCTAGATGATGTTCAAAAACTGATGGATGATACTGCTGAGGCCAAAGCTTATCAAGATGTAAGTTTCACATCGTTGTTCTTCCTGCTTTCTTTTAATAGTTGGATCTATGCAATATTGGTTGCTTAATTGTTTATTTGGCAATATTTATCCGTCAATCGTGTGAATCAAAACTTTTAGATCCTTACTTGAATTCTCTTTTTGAAGATATTGGTATCCGGAAAACCTTCTTCCCCTATTTACGCATCTGTCTTAGCCATTTTTTGTGTGAACAACAGAACAACAATAGTCTGTAATCTGAGAACGTTATGTTGCGTAAACCATCTTATGTAATAAACTTTCTAAAGATCTTTCGTGGTTAGATAAATTTTAAAAAAAAATGTAACATAAGCATTGATTTGAAGTCAATCACCCTTTGGTAAATTATACAAGGCTTTGTTCTAAAAGGCCAGCCTAGCGCCTGGGCAGGAAAGGACGTAAACTCTATGTTGACTGCCTAAGGAGCAACTAGGTGGAAAACGGTGTGCTCCCTCATGTTTAGCAAGTGGTATTTTCTTGTTTTGAAGTCGAGCCCAACAAAATGTTCAATAATTGCTAAAAATTAAAAAGAAAATAATTCCAACAAAATACCCACCCCAACCATGAAGATAGTTTTCTCAGGCCACGAACGAAGTATGATTAATTTGGAATATTTATGATTTTGAGAAATATGTTTTTGTTAAAACTTGAATAATATGTAACTATAAATTCAAGTTATACGTTATTTTATTTGTTTATTGGTCTAGAATAATTAAAACAATATTAAGGACCTGTTCCCCCTTTTTTTTGTGTGGAATACATTTTGAAATAGTAGATTGATGGAGAATGTGTGGATAAAAATGAAGGAAAAGTTTTTGGGTGGTGTGTAATATTATTTTATTGAAAAATGTGCGGTTGAAAAGAAAGAGGAAAACGGATTTTGAAAAAAAATGGGGAGCAAACAAGGTCTAAAAATAAGAAAACACCTTAGTATGCTTAGACTTGAAGCTTGACTCCCATGCCTTGCCACGCCATACTCATTTTAAAAGCTAATGCAAAGTATGCTTATAATTGTACCATGTCATTCAAAATGAAAATGCTCAGTGTAAACTTGGTAATTCAACTACTGCTTTTATAAGAAAAGACAAATTCAGGTTAAGTAGCTTGTCCTCGCTATCAGACACACCATTGAAGGCACAAAAACATCAGAGCTGTCTTCAGTTTATTAACATTTCCACAGGCTGCAGGAAAGTAATGGAGATGTGCGTGAATGAACCAATGTTAAATATTTTACTCATTATTTGGGATTGGATTATATCATTTCCTTTTGAGGTTTTCAGGGAATTTTGTGCCCTTTCATACAATAGATTTTATTTGCAACTTATCCTTTCTCAAAGTTTATAATACATGCCCCTGTTTGGTGTAGCTAAATCAAATTTTGAATAGATTTCGAGAAAAGTTGGTGAAATGTGTGATTGAAAAGTTGTGGGATTTGTGAAATGTGTGATTAAAATTAATTGTTGACTTTGACTTCAATTTTATACAATTTTTTAATCTACACCAAACTGGGGCAGAGTGTGACTGGTCAACATTCCTGATTACAATTTGATTTCAACTCTTACCTAAAACTCCACAGAAATTTTCAATAATGATATCAATATGAGCTGGAAATTAATTGTCCACCAAATTGTACTTGATTTACTTCTTTTGGGGAACCAACAACTCGGTACAACTTGTCAATTGATCCTTGTTTTCCCAGAAAGTGGAAGAAAAGATTCCAAGAGCTATGAAATTGGGACATCAAAACATCATCTGTGGGACTTCTATTTCTTCATTTTTCCTTTGCTTCTTATGATTATTTGTTTCCTCTAAAACTACTCCCTCCTCACTAAGGAGTGTTCCCCTGGTTAATCTCAAATTTTGTATGAGGTGTACAGCGTTACGAACAACAATAACCACACCAACTATGCGTTATTACCAATAAAATTATAAAAGTGACATCAACGTCAACTTACAATGAAATTGTTCTATACCTATAGCTAGGCTGTTCTCTAACTTTTCCTCTATATTTGTGTTCAATATATTTTACAGGAGATCAATGAAATTTTGGGAGAGAAGCTATCGGCAGAGGACGAAGAGGAAATTTTGGCTGAATTTGAAAATCTCGAGACTGAGGTCTGTTCTTTTTTATGCAAATACTCTAAAGCTTCTAATTTTTCCCAATATGAGATCTATCATTGTGCTTCAACTTACGTTTTCTGCTTGGTTTTTATGCACTAGTCTATGAAAAGCGGACAGTAATAGCATTATGAACTAGAGTGTGGATAATTACCAAATGACTACCATGTGTGCTCTATGTATCTATCTGACAAACAGGTAGTCATGTGAAACAAAGAAATATTTTATAAATGTAGCACCTCCCGATCTGTTTAGAAAACATTGTTAAAACATTCTTGCATAACTTGGTTATAATCCTACAATGAATTCACAAATGAGGTTTGATGGTGGGGGAGGGAAGTGGAAGAAAGATAATTATCTCTTTCTAAACATAATGTCCAGTCCCATATGCTCTTATTTAATCTCCATTCCTGTTATTGTTATTCATTAGTTTTCTTTATTTTAACTCATATGGGGTTCAAATCCTACATTCAGCAACGACGAGTAGGAATAATGTTTAGTTGTTACTTAAGCAAGATCTTTCCTTATTTTGGTTGAAACTATTATTTGGCTTCCATTATTGAGGAATGAAGAAGAAGCCTTGCATTCAACATGTTTAGCCCCTATTTGGTGCACATTTTGGGAGTAAGAATGCATTTTTATTGTTGATGTGATGGGGAATATATGGTTGAAAAAAAAAAAGGAAAGTTATTGATGTGATGAAATATATTATTTTATTGAAAAATGTGTGATTGGAAATGAGTAGAAGAATGAGAATGAGAAAAATAATGTGGATCAAACAGGGACTTATTTTTTCTTTAAAAAACAACAAATATTGCACTGATGGTCTAATTGACCTAGATAAGCCTGTTGCAACAAACAATGTGGGACTTGAGGCTATAAAAATTAGGACCCGCACGGTCTTATGGGCATCTTCCCCCACACTTCATTTTCATCTCTTTCTTTTATAAATAGGTTATGGCATGATAGTCATGTAAAAGATGGTTTCCACAAAAGAGACTGGGACACTCTTTACGACCACCCATCATTCCAAATACAAAGGGCTAGAGAAGATTTCTTGCTCCATGATTTCATTTATCACACCAGAATTTCCCCCTCATTCTTTTTCCACATAATGTGACCTTACAAAGCCTATGTTTGCCTCATGTTCGTAAATTGTTTATAAACATTTGAGTCACTTTTTATTCACACATTTCGATGGACCCACAAGTACTACCCACTTATTCAACCGCTCATTTCTATCTATTTATAGCTTAAAACGTTTTTAAACACTTCCCAAACGTGAGGGAGACGATACATTGCATTCTACATGTTTGCATTACAGAGTTTGCTATATAAAACTGAGAAGATATGAGCTATTTAGGACTTTTTTAAACCTCTATGTAAGTTGTATTAAGCTTTTAAGTTCTAAGTAAGTGGCTTTAGATTAGTGAAGCTTTAGTTTCTCTCTATTTGTTTTTGCCGCTTTGCATGACACCAAGATATATCTATTTCGTAATTCTAATCTCTTTTCTCGACCTATTGATTATTTCTTCCTCTGGGTTATTGTCTTTTGTATGAAAATAGCGTCATATGATCTACACATCACATAAAACAGAAACCATCAGTTATCAAATTAAGGAACGTATGGTTTTGTACAGTTAACCCTTCAAGATCTGCCAGAAGTTCCTTTTGAGAAAGCAGCTACTGAAGAACAAGAAGAGAATTTGGATCTTCCTCATGTTCCAACCAAAGCACCAGTCATTTCTGAGGTGGTGGCTGATTCTGGACCAAGAAAAGGTCTCTGTCCCTCACATAAGGTTCTTGAAAGAATTTAAGAGATTGTTTAATTCCCACAACTGTTTTAACATTTTATTTTCCATATTTGTGTAGTTATGGAGGAACCATTACCTGCTTGATGTGGAACCAGTAGTGCCACTGCAACTTGCATCCAGATGCCACATTTTAGTTGTTTTTAAATATTTATTTGAAATTTGAAAAGATTATCATACTCGTGTAAATTATTTTGAAGTTTCATGATGACAGTATTTACCTATCATATAGTGTACAGTAGTGATGAATTTATTTTGGTTAACGAACAACTCTTTGTATCTCATGCCAGCTAGAGGGGTTGAATATCGTTTTCTTTGTAATTGTTGAGTAATATTGATTCACTATGTTATGTGACTTGAAAGTTTGGGTTTCCAACTCATTTTCTGCAAGCACTGAAACTTATTTCTTGTCACAAGATCCCATCATACTCAAGGTTCTTACGGGTGGTCTCATTATGCAATCTTGATGATTCTTGGGCGGCCCTCTCCGCCCCCGGCCCCGCTAAGAAATTACCCGTTTAAAGCGGGGCGGGATCCTTGCTCAATTTTTAATTTTTAATTTTTTTTGATAATTTATTTTTATTTCTCATATTCATTAGATTTATACAAATAATTTTATCTACTGTTTTCTATTAGAACAAATGAAATTTTGTGAAATTTTTATTTAAAGTATTGAATTCTAAATAAAAAAAAAAAATTAAAAGGGTGGGGCGAGGAGCCCCGTTACCCATCTTTGTCCCGAACCCTCCTCAGGGCAAAATTCTCTGCCTTGAATACCCGATTAAGCGGGTTATTCCCGTCTCGTTCGGGGCGAGACTCCGCGAGTATCGAGTTTGTCGAATTTTTTTGCCACCAGGAACCCATCAAAGTTATACTTCAATCTTCTACCATCAACCACTTCAATTCAAATTCTTTTAAACTCTCAATTCAACACACGTGAATCTCAAGGTTTTCGGCATTCTATTTACACATACAATTGTATAACCATTAATAAAAACATATGTTCGTTCAAAATGAATCAAATTTATTAGAAGGGAAAAGGAAATTTCAGCAAATTATCTGCGCAGCAGATATGCATTGACCATCAGAAGCCATCATCCTTCTGATAAACAAGGTATGAATGCATGCCCTTTTTGCAGTTTTTCTTTTTTGGGCAGAAAAAAGCGTCAAAACTGCGCATTCTAATCTAGACGGACTTCACTTGTTCTGTTCAACATATGGATAAATTAATAGCACTATAGACTTCACTTAATCCAGATAAAAGAGAGTAACAATCTTCCTCATATTCTTTGCTTCTTGACATGTTTCCATGAGCAATCTACTGTCATGAAATGCAAAGCAAATTACTTGTTGTACTTGTGATATGATGTCCATGTTGCACAGCCTGCATTCACCATCACAAGCAGTTAAAAAGTATATTCGCTACTATTGACAAGAGCATGCTCGACTAAGCTTAAAACTAACTCAAAACATGTTTGATAATTTACATTTTTTCAGCAATGATATATGTTGCACCAATAAGTTCATCTTGATTACAGAATGAGCGACAACAATTTTTGGCATTCCACAACCCAGTTTAATGTCATATTGCTAGCATATCATCCACTCAAAAGTTCAGCCAAGCAGTAAAAAATAAACAACAAAAGGGGAAAAGAAAATGCTTCCAGGACTTGATTGAGTACCTGCTAGCTTCTATCAATGGGAGATGATCATTGTGGGGCTTCTCTATTACATTTTTTACCTGCAAATCCAAGAAGAAATTTATTGCTTATAATTGGATAATGCTGAGTTTCAGTGACCCCATCCCTTTCATGGGACACAAAATATCAACCGCTTCCTTTTTCCCTGTCTTTCTGAGTAGCATTGTGCTAGTTAAAACATCCACTGGCACCTTGCCCTAAAATGAAGGTAGCAATACAATTACTAAATTCAAAGCTGAACATACTTGTATATGCTCACATCTTAATTCGGTCTTGACAGAAGATTGAATAATTGGTGAAACATCCCTCTTAAGAGAAGAGAAACAGGGTAAAAACACAATCAAAGGACTCTTCACCTCAGCCTTAAGCAGATAGCAATTGGGAAAACAGAAAGATTGGTTCAAGGCTTAGAGCAAACTAAGTATAGAGCAACCCGCATCAAAATTAATCACGTGCCATATAATTGACTTAAAAAATGAATAAGCGGAACTAAAAAATTTTATGTGATCCCCCAATTCTTACTTTAGAAAGTAACTCTTGACTCTCCGGAGGTTGCTTTTTCAAACTTTGTGGCAATATTACGGTGAGCAGCTCTGGTTTTTCAGCACGAAGGGCACCTCTAATAACAGCAGCATTAGTACCTGAAGCTCCGGATGTAAAAATATGATTTTTCTGCAAAAAAGTTAAAAAGATAGCCAGGGCATCAAGAGATGAGAAGTCATCAAACAATAGGAAAAATGAGGCTTATCGAACCATAAATAAGACAATAACCACATGCAGTACTGTTTGATAAATCAATTAAAATGGAATTAATACCGTAATAACCAACGCGTAGCTAAGAATCTCAATAAGTTCTTGGTGCATGAACGCCATATTTCGAGTCCCAAAAAAGCCTATTGCTCTTGGCCCTTCTTGTTGAATTGCTAGTAGCTCCTAACAGACAACAAAAGCAACACAATGTACATTGTCATATGTTCTATAGATGCACACATTAAACAGCCAACA